GGCCAGGTGGGAGTCTTTGTAGGGACCAACCAACATCAGAATCCCCTGCTCTTTTAGGAGTTCAGATGTCCAAATTTGAATCTCCGAATATTTACTAGGATGCTTCCTCTTTGGTTGGTCTTCAAATTGAGATGGTGAAATCTTGTTTTTGAATTTATGTGGTTTAAAGCTGGAAAACGCTTCAAGAGAGCATCAAATGTTAAATGAGGGGCTTTTTATTTACACCTGTATTCTCTCCAGGACCTTGCCATTCAAGTTTTAAATCCTTTAATTAGCTTTCTTTATAGCATTGAGGCCTCAATAGCAAGAATTTAGAGAAATCCATATATAATATTGAAAATGACCAAATATACTTACTCAAGTAACATCTCTCCAACTCAAAGTAACTTCAAGCAGGCAAGCCCCTTACTAAAAATTGACACATGAAGGTAGTGCCATTCCCCTTTCCTGTGGGCATTTGCTAGTATGAAGTCCTACCTAATCTTCGACTATCACTGTAGCGAACGTCATGGCATTTAAAGATTCTAGGTGTATGTACTGTAATTTTTATGTTAGACTACTTAAGCTGTTAGCCAATAGTTATATGAAGATTAACATTCCTCCCTCCCAGCTTTTAAGATGGAACAGTGATATAGTCATGTGGTACTCATTAATATATACTAAAGTTTGATGGTGGGCCATGTGCTGGAGTAGAATGCTCAATTATCTCATTGAATCCTTAGCAGCGCTTCGGACATATTAATGACCGTTATTTCTGTTTTACAGTTGAAGATTCTAAGGCATGAAGAGGTTAAGTTGAGTTAAATAAGGTCCCAGAGCCAATAAATAAATGACATGAGCAAGTTTGAACTCATATTTTTATTACCTCAGGGTTGAGGGTTTTACCAAAAGTTGGTTCTGTTTCTTGCCTTGCCCTTATTCAGCATACCTCCTCTCATGATTTAACTGAACTCTACCCTCCTGAAGTCCTTCCTTAAATAAAATAAGAGCAATGTAGTCTGAGGGGTTGGCCCATAAATAAATCCCCTCCTAGTACATTTCTCTCAGGCCTTTCCAGATTCTTCCTGCCCCCTTTCATCCTGATTTTGATATAAGCATAACATTCAGTATGTTTATTTATAAATTCTATGGCAAGACCTGAAAGTAGGGTTTTTTATTTTTTAATTCTTCGTAATATGGCTTTGTGCAGGAACAGGAAGCAGTTAGTGGTGTTACTTTATTTTTGGAAGGTTAGACGGGGGGTGACGAGAAATTGCTTTCTGTGTGTCGGATGCATGAGTTATAGGAAATGATAGCTCGCCAGTGAGTCAGCAGAGATTCTGTCCTCGGCCTCGATGCCAGGTCACGGCTGTGAGAGATGCTCTTGCTGGCAAGGGGCCCCCAGCATTTCTCTCTGGAGCAACACAGCTCCGCCTACCTGGTGAGGAGCGCGAAGTCACCTATCCTGGGGAAGAATCGCAGAGCTATCTTTCATTGGTCTTGTTTGTGTGTTTACCAGGTACCCAGTAGAAAAATCCGTGACTTTCATAGAGAAGATGAAGTTTAGGGTTGATGGCCTAGCAGAATGGAATGCTCAAAGGCAAATTCCATATTTTTATAAGGCTCCAGCTTCTCAGGCTCTCTATAAATGGCAACACTGTGGGGAAGGAAGATGGGAAGATAGTGCTTCAGGGAAAACGGTCAAAAGACTAAATAAGTGGTCACTCTGTTACAAGAGTTAAACATTCAAGAGGGCTTCAAAGAGTTCGTGGAAAAATAGAGTGAAAACATAATACAATTTCTCCACAAACTTCTTGAAGCCCCCTTTTTTTGCCATCTGGCAAACACTAGAATGAAAATCTTGAATTACTGGTGATTGTTTTACAATGCGCTCAACAGTTAAATATATCCTAAGAATTGACCCTTACTGTTTTAAAATGACTATTCATTTGTCAAGAAGCAAATGATTTGCCCCATAACATTTTTATATTTTAGAATCTCTTCTACGTGGACTCTTAAGCCACACTGCCCACTCTTAGGCTTCTCCCGTAAGAAGTTGTTGAGAACTACTTTCATTCAGGATCCACTGTGTGCCAAGCACTCATCCACCAGAGAAGATAGTGTTGTCCATATTTGAAAGATGGAAAACAACAACTCATGCTTCGACAGCTTGTTGGGAGCCTGTCCTCAACAGGCAATCAGGTCAGCCTTGGTGGAACGACAGTCAAATTCAAATTAGACTAACACCAGACTCTACATTCTCAACTCGGGTGCACCATGACGCTGTTCCACTTCCCTCTCTCATGTTTTCCGGAGGGCGTTTTATATTGACTTCAATCAGTGAGATGGTTTGGTTGAAATAGGACCCTCTCCTTGCAAAAGTAGGATTCAAAATGTCACCTGTGCTTGGCCTCCGCTTTGGTCATAAAGAACAATAACTGGAGCATCACAGAGCATGCATGTGTGTTCATGTGACTGCGTGACATGAAATAGACTCAGATGTACAGGAAGACCACAGTTGGACAGCTGGATTGCCTTCCACTTTAAGTGGGTTCTCAAGCTTTCTTCTCAAGCTCTTAAGGTGATGAGAGTGGGGACGGAGCTGAGTGTTTCACTGTTCAGACACCTAGCTAGCAGTGGCATCTGGAATGTGGAAGGAGTGGTATCCGTGGCAAATTTGAGTCATCATAGTTTCACAAAGGTATCAATCCTGTTGGCTCACCAGGGAATTAATGTATTATTCTAATAGATTATCCACACTTAAAAATCCTTAAAATGACCGGGAGGGTGGAGGGAAGGTGGGGTGGAAAGCAGGAACCAATTACAAGGATCTACATATAACCTCCTCCCTGGGGGACGGACAACAGAAAAGTGGGTGAAGGGAGGCGTCAGACAGTGTAAGATATGACAAAATAATAATAATTTATAAATTATCAAGGGCACATGAGAGAGAGGGGAGTGGGGAGGGAGGGGGAAAATGAGGAGCTGATACCAAGGGCTCCAGTAGAAAGCAAATGTTTTGAGAATGATGATGGCAACAAATGTACAAATGTGCTTGACATACAATGGATGGATGGATAGACTGTGATAAGAGTTGTATGAGCCCCCAATAAAGTGATTTCTTTTTTAAAAAGAAAATAAATTCTTTAAATGATTGCAACTTCATGACTGTGCAGGTACTGCTACTTAAAAAATATTTCTGTAGCTTTTTTGAGATGTAGTTGATATAATAAAAGTACACATACCATATATACTCGCGTACAAGCTGAGTTTCTCGGCACATTTTTAATGCAGTTTTTGTGGTAAAATTTGGTGCCTGGGCTGATATTCGGGCTGGATTATATTTGAGTATATACAGTACTTCAGTGCTCTAGTTGATCAAATGTAACCTATGTATGCAGCTGTGAAACCATCACCTCCATGGAATACTGAACGTATCACCCTCCCTTCAAATATTTTGTGATGTTACCTTCTTGAAGAAAAACAAGCCATTGCATTGATTTGGCTAATTTGATGCAAAGGGCCTGCCATGGGGACCCAGATGTTGTGGGTCTGGGCTCTACGCTAACTTCCATCCATTGCTACCCTGTTTCCCCAAAAATAAGACAGTGTCTTATATTAATTTTTGTTCCCAAAGATGCGCTAGGTCTTGTTTTCAGGGGATGTCTTATTTTTCCATGAAGGAGAATACAGTGCACATTTATTGTTTTATTAAAAGAGACCTCACACTTCCTGTCTGCTCCGGCTGTGCTGTGGCCAACAGGGAGCTGTGCGGCGCCTACCGCTGTGGTCCAGAGTCCAGAGTTACGGTAGCTTCAGGGGGCCTTATTTTGGGGGAGGTCTTATTTGGGGGGGGGGGCCTTATATTTCAGTCAGAGGCAAAACTGTAAGTGGGTCTTATTTTGGGGGAATGTCTTACTTTCAGGGAAACAGGGTATCTAGTTCCTTCTAACTCGCTGTGATCCTATAAGACAGAGTAGCACCGCTCCGGGGCATTTCCGAGGGTGTCACTCTGTACGGGAGCAGACGGTCTTGCCTTTTTCCTGTGGCACAGCGGATGCGTTTCAACCACCAAGCTTCAGGTTCTCAGCCCGCTGCCTATTCCATTCTGCCACCCCAGGTTCTTTTTGCCATGAAATTCAGCGAGTCCCTTAATTTTTCTGCTCCTAATTTTCTCTTCTGAAAAAATGAGGCAGTTGAACTCGATGATCCCTAAGGCCCCTTACAGCCCAGACATTCAATCAAGCTGAGAAGCCGGGCCTACTTAGGGTATTAGTTTGTGTCCAAATGGTGTTATGTGATGATTTCGACTTCCCCGGTGGCCGGTGTCAGCTGTACTGCTTCTTCCCTGCCCCACTTTGGTTGATTGGGTCTCCTAAAATCACTTCATTTCTTTTCATTCCCTTTCACCTTGGCTGAAGGTCATTCAAGCCAATGAGGGCTTCCATGTTGGCCTTTCGAAATATCGGGCAGTTAGGACTCTCCTAAGGCGCTGAAGGCAAAAGCTTGGACTGAGCTGTGGATTTAGCAGTAGCTTCAGCAATGAACTGATAAGGGGCATGGGCATCCACCTTCTAGGTACTTGTGAGAGAGCTTAATTATTTTGTGATCAAGGAGAGAGAGAGATAAGTGGGATTGGGGACATTTTCAAGATGGGGGGCGGAGGGGGAGGGTGAAGATTGGAGTTTAACGAATATTCAAACCCCAAACTTTGCCTACCGTCTTGCCACGGCAGCAGCCTTCCTGTTAGGGGTTCTGGTGATTTTGCTGTGGTGACATGCGTAGTTACCTCACAGCCGCTTGCAAATTTGCCTAAAAATGCAATATGCTCACCAGATGCTCCCCCTCAGGCCTGGAGCGCTGCCATCTTGGGTTTTCAAAGCTACCTCATCCACCACTGCCAGTATTCCTGGTGGGAGGGGGTGCTGGAGGGAGCTGGTGGTGAAAATTGAGCTGATTATAAATGTGGACAGAGCTTGCTCACAGCATTTGACTCTTTCCCCGCGGTTCCTGTTTTCCAGGTAGCTCCCTGGGATTTCTGAGGCGGGGCTGCTCAGAGTTCACCTTGGCCCACCATGAAGTTCCCCTTACTCTGTGCCTACATGCTATTGCTTATGATTTCCCAGCGGAGGACCCTCAGCTTCCCGGAGGACATTGAACCCCTGAACACCATCATCTCTCACTGTGAGTAACCCAGAGAACAGGCTTTTTCTCCAAGAAGGGAGCTTACTTGGTTTGGCTCTCTAGACCGATTCATTGAGGCTTTGTTGTTGTTGTTGGAGGGTGAATGGGGTTGTGTGGCTTCACACCACGTCAGTTCGCACCACATCAGTTCACACCACATCATCTCCCAGTGGATGGAGAACGCGGGAGAGTTTTGTTAGGGACTTTCTTTTCTCAAGCAACCTAAATATAGGTGGCGTATCTCCAGTTAAAAGACAAAGCCCATTTGCTGACATTCACCATATTTTATTCATCTATATTCAAGACCTTAAGAGAGAAATTTAGTTAAAACCCGTCTACAACTAGTATATACAGCTAATCAATGCCGTATATTGATTCTTCAGCTCCATAATCCTGACTGATGGGGTAGCCCATTTTTACTTGCAGATTCAAGGCAATATCCGGTTTTCCGGGGGCGCCCTTCAGGCAATGAATCGCAGCACAGGCTGGACTTTCAGCTGATGTTGAAAATTCAAGACACACTTTATATTGCTGGCAGGTAATTTCCCTCTCGTTGGTTTATTAGATTAAAATTCTTTTCTCTTCTGGGGCTTGCATTAATGTGTCTAGTTCATGAAAAACTAATATGTGATTGTGATCAAAAATTGCAAGTAGCCAAAAATATCCAGCGAAGAGAATCAGTGTTGTGTACCAGGAACAAAATACAGAGCTGATGCCTTCCACGGGGCTATTTTATTACTGCCATCAAGAAATCATGCACCCTGCGTGTTCCTTTTTCTAGAGCGCAGGGGGGCCCGCAATCTTACCTGTTCCTTTTTTCCCTGCAAATTTTTCAAGCAAATATTTGCAATATGAGGATGCTAATCCCAAGTAGCAGTTTGACCTATGCTGGAGAGAAAAGCTTTTCATGCTCCCTAACTACAGACATGACTAGCTAATGAGAAAGCACCCTTTGTTGACTTTGAGGCAAAGAGAAATCTAGATCCCCAAACCACATTAACGGCAGATTTGTAAAAAGAAAATAGGTAGCAGGTTAGTATTGTTATGTACTAGCATGATGTGACTTAGTGCTTTTTTTCCACCAGGGATCAAGTTTATACCGTGAACTTAAATGAAATCCCCAAAGCAGAGGTCATACCAAGAAAGGTGAGCAGCGGTAGCTGTCCAATTGATTATAGCCCTGGCCCCCTTCCCTCCAAAACTGTCCCCAGTTCAACATTGACCTTCGATGGTTGTTTGGTTCATACAGAAACTGACGTGGCGATCCAAGCAGCAGGACCGAGAGAACTGTGCTATGAAAGGCAAGCATAAGGTAAGTGGGATTTGTCGCCCTCCGGGTTTGATCTCAGAGACTGACGTGGACTGGCCAACGTGAAGATGCTCATTATTTTCTTTTAGGACGAATGCCACAACTTTATCAAAGTGTTTGTTCCGAGGAACGATGAGATGGTTTTTGTCTGTGGGACCAATGCGTTTAACCCCATGTGTCGATACTACAAGGTAAGTAGGTCTTATAGGATGTGCGTTTTTATTTTGGTTTATGTCAACGTGACTTCCTTTGCTGTATGCTATTAGAGTGAAAACCTTTCTGCCCTAACCCAGTAATTGGTTATCTAGTTTATGGAAGGATAAAGACAGCATTTTATGTTTAGAATTTCAGCCCAAATAAGGTTTGCCTTCAAGCGGGTGCATTGAACAGATATGACACCAGCTGTTTATTTTTCTTTTGTAGTTGAATACCTTAGAGTACGATGGGGAAGAAATCAGTGGCCTGGCACGATGCCCGTTTGATCCCAGACAAACCAACATTGCCCTCTTTGTCGGTAAGATCCTTAAGTGTAATGAAAGGAAATGATTAATGGCATTGAAGGAGCAAAAGGAATTGAAAGGGGAGAAAACCACAGCTCAGAACTTGTATAACCACCTGGATCTAGGTGTTTCAAAGACTAAGATCCATGAACACATTTCCAGAAAGGAAAAATGAAAAATGAGCAAGTTTCCGTTTAAAATAAAAGGGTGCTGGCAGTGTGTTATGTGCTAACCCAGTGACCCTGCACACACGGCTTAACTTTTTGATGCGTAAGCCAACCTGTAGAATTAGGTGACTTGGAGAATTAGGTAACAGCACGGGCCAACCTGTCACAGGTGGGTTGTAAGCATCAGGTTGAGGTTTGTTTGTGTAGGCGTGGAAAAATCGCAGCTGAAAGCATTCCAACAGGTGTAACCTGCTATCTAATTGTGGCTGTTTTCATCAAAATCCTATCTTTGGTTTTAGACGGGAAGCTGTATTCCGCCACAGTGGCTGACTTCTTGGCTAGTGATGCTGTGATTTATCGAAGCTTGGGTGATGGCTCTGCTCTTCGCACAATTAAATATGATTCCAAATGGATAAAAGGTACCTTTGAAGAGCAGCGGTCTAGGAGGGCCAAGGACAATGGGCATGGCGCGGGTGGGAACAGAAGTCAAAGGCATCAGGGGATTCGGTGCATGACTTTATATTGTTAATGGGTTTTTTTAAGTCCAAGTACACTGTTTTGAGGCCAATATTCATGTCAAAGGATATGTCCATCCCAGATTGATTATGAGTGACCAAAAAATAAATTTAAAAGAATAGAAATTATTGTTGGTGCACCTAATTGTCTAGCTCTACATGCGTGTCATACCACCTGCTCCCGCGCCTCTCCCTAACGTGGAGAGTTAACAGCCAGGGTGGATCACCCTGTTATCTGCTGAGTCATTTTGCTCTTTAGAGTTTAGAAATCGAGATTGTTTTCATTCGTAGTGAAAGGGGTTTTCTTCTCTAGTTAAATAGGTTAATGACTAAATCTGTTGAAACAAGGACCTCTGTGGTCGTTCAGTTCCCTGTCGGCCCTTTTCCACTCCATTAGCTGACATTCAAGACTCCTGGGCTCTCCGAAGCTTAAACACACCCATATTGGTACTTCGCACAGCCATTGGCCTATCGGCATTCTCGTTGGCTTGGAGGGAACTAGGGGCCATCTGTCAGTCACAGCTAGTTGCCGGGGGTCTAATGCTAATTAAATTATCCTTGAAGAATCAGCTTGTTTTCCTTTTTTTTTTTTCTTTCAGAGCCACACTTCCTTCATGCCATTGAGTATGGAAACTTTGTCTATTTCTTCTTTCAAGAAATTGCTGTAGAACATAATTATTTGGACAAGGCACGTATACGCACTGGACTTGTTTCGCGTGATTCCGTATGACTTGTTCAAGTTAGGGCTGCCCCTTTGACCTACTCTCCAATACTCAGCATGATGCATGTAGAGTCACGTGCCGCGAGATGGTTCAGGAGCTCATCCTAAGAAGATCCATACAATGATGGCCATTGAGTTGATTGCCACCCATGACAATCTCCTGCCTATGAGAACCGAACTGGGCTTGGTAGGGTACTCCAGGGCTGTGGTCTTTCAGAAGAAGGTCACCAGGCCTCTCTTCCAAGGCACTCGGGATCAATCAATCCCCCACCTTGTTAGTTAGCAGCAAGGATGGTAACCATTGGCACCATGCAGGGGCTTGTTCAGGAGGATGTGTGCTGGAAAAGACTTCCACACAGCAGCGAGCGGAACAACAGCAGGCTGGGGCAAAACGAAGAACCTATTTGACTCACTCCAAAGCGGGTTCTTTCTAGACACCCTGGATACTTCTTTAAGGTTTTAGGACAGCAGTTCTCAACCTGTGGGTCAGGACCCCTTTGGGGGTCGAGCGACCCTTTCACAGAGATTGCCCGATTCATAGCAAAATGACAGTGATGAAGTAGCAACAAAAATAATGTTATGGTTGGGGGATCCACCATAACATGAGGAGCTGGATTAAAGAGTCGTGGCATTAGGAAGGTTGAGAACCACTGCTTTAGAAAGTCATTTAATAATTTATTTTCTTTCTGTGTCCAGAGGCAGGCTGGAAAGTGGAGGTCCCTGTTCCGTTTAAGTTGTTTCAGTCAGAGACCCTGTGGTTTTAAAGTGGTGCCACCTTTTCTGTGCCCAGCTGCAGGGGGGCACGCATCATTTGCAGAAGGGGCGACAGCAGCGTGGGAGGCAATAGGTAGGAGCGGTTTCCATACAGCAAGGCAGTGAGAGAGCGTGCATCTGCCGGCACTCACTTGGCAGAACAGGCGCATGGTGCTCTTTTCTCATAGGTAAATCTCATTTGCCTTCCTCCCATCCAGATCCCACTAGAGAAGACTGCGAGACCCCTTTGAACTAGATTTATCATTAGCATCTTCTGTCCCTTCAATAGCAGACTCTCTTTTCCATTTCACCTCCCTGCTCACACCCCTGTTGCTTTTGCCTTTGTCCCCTGGGCAGACTCTCTATTCCCGTGTGGCCCGTATATGTAAGAACGACATGGGCGGCTCCCAGCGGGTCCTGGAAAAACACTGGACTTCATTTCTAAAGGCTCGGCTGAACTGTTCTGTCACCGGAGAGTCGATTTTCTACTTTGATGTGCTGCAGTCGATTACGAACATTATAGAAATCAATGGCGTTCTCGCTGTGGTCGGGGTGTTCACCACACAACTCAACAGGTGAGAACAGACGCGCAGCACTTCAAAGCCCGTCTGTGCTTGCTTTCAGGAACCAAGAGCGGGTCCAACGTCAAGTCTCGTGCCTGACGGTTGTCTCCTTTATCAGCATTCCAGGTTCTGCTGTCTGCGTGTTTAGCATGGATGACATTGAAAAGGCATTCAAAGGGAGGTTTAAAGAGCAGAAATCGCCTGATTCTCTTTGGGCAGCCGTCCATGAAAGCAGAGTCCCGAAGCCAAGGTAAAGGGCAAAGATGGAAGGTTTGAGTTCAGTAGAACCCGCTGATCGGAAGCATCCATTCTCAGAGAGCTACTGGGTCAACCCCTTCCCCCTGCCCGCCCCCAGGCCAAGAAGGGGCCCCTCCACGGCATCTCAGGCAGCGAGTTAATAAAGGTAGCCCGGGACCTGCAGCACGGGCGAGTGTCCGTGGGTAGGATCAATTCAGAGAAAGAGCCTTTTCCCCCTCTCCTTTGTCTCGCGACCTCTTCTTTGAGACTGTCTCCTGACTTGTTGCCCAGGTAAAATGTCCAGCACAACAAAAGCAATCTGAAACCTCCAGTGTTCTCCTTTTAGGCCTGGCTCTTGTGCCAAGCATGGCCCTGCAGAAAACTATGAAACCTCCATCGATTTCCCTGACGACACCTTGACGTTCATCAAGTCGCACTCGCTGATGGACTTGGCCGTTCCATCCATTGCCAACGAGCCCTGTTTCACCAAGACACGGGTCAGGTAGGCTGGTGCAGACCACAGTGGTGCCCCACACTCAATGGACCCTGCTCTTCCTGTTGGCCTCTCGCAGTGACTTGTCGCTGGTCTTCTCACAGGTATCGACTGACCGCCATTGCCATCGATCATTCCGCCGGACCCTACCAGAACTACACCATCATCTTTGTTGGCTCTGAAGCTGGCAGTGTTCTTAAAATTTTAGCAAAGACCAGCTCCTTCTCTTTGAATGACAGCGTATTACTGGAAGAGATTGAAGCTTTCAACCATGCCAAGTAGGTAGTCCTTTAGGGGGATGCTTCTCAATGCTGCTCCAACATTGCCCATGTGGATTGCATCCAGTCCTTTCCTTTCCGCCCACTGAGTCAGCAGTGGTTTGGCGCATTAGTATTGCTTTGTGTGTGTGTGTGTGTGTGTCTGTGTGTTACCCCCCTCACGGGCATACATCCTGGCTTTGCTGTTTTCCCGAGTCCAGTAGGGCAAGGAGGGCAAACAGTTGATGAGTCTAAAATGAATTCAAGCCCTGGTTTTCACCTGTGAAAAATGAGAACATTGGAGAAGCACCCCCCAACCTTGTAGCTATATTGGGGGATGCTACGTTGGTTCTAAGTGTGTGTTTGCATGCACACGCAGAGAATCCATTTCTAGTTAAAAAAATGTTCTACTCACTAATAAAAGATTACTCAGGCCATTAAAACAAACAAGACACGGGTGAGAGAAACGAGACAAAGGTGACCACTGAGAGAGGCAGAAACGTCTTCCATGGGGAGCTCTTGGCGCCTTGAGGTCTTCCTCATCCTCGGCAGTCTGACTTGGCCTTCACAGTGCATTTCCCTTAGAGCATCACGGACGCCCCTGGTAAGACGGACTCTTTCATTCTAGCCTTGCCTTGCCTTTTGACCACATTTGCAAGTAAACATTTTTACACCCAGCCTTTTTGATGACTTGGGACACATACCACCTCGCATTTTAACTTAAACTTCACAGACGCGCTGAGCTGTTTGGTCTTGTAGATGCACTAGAGAACAGGAAAGCTATCTTAAGAAACACACATTAAGGAACCTTTGCTCTGCCTGGAGTTTAACCAACCATGCAGAGAAGTAGAAGGGAAAGCCACTTAGTGCTTAATTCCCAAACTATGTGCTTGCCTTGGTTTACTACCAGGGGTATTCCTCCAGCCTCTCCAGCTCCCAGTACCCCTGGCAACCAGGTCAACATTCCCTTATTTTAGTTCATGTAGCTTTTGACTTCCTGATAGCTTCGCATTACCTGTGTGTGTCCCACAAAACAGGTGCAATGCTGAGAATCAGGAGGACCGAAAAGTCATCTCCCTCCAGTTGGACCTAGAGCGCCACGTCTTATACGTGGCATTCTCTAGCTGCGTGATTCGGATTCCCCTCAGTCGCTGTGAGCTCTATAGATCCTGTAAAAAGTAAGCTGGCATTTCCCGACTTACCCTGGATCTGGCGGCATCAAAACCCATGATGATGCTAATCCACGTTACACTCTGCTTGGTTGCGTTACAGGTCTTGCCTTGCAGCCCGTGACCCATACTGTGGCTGGTTAAGCGAGGGAGCCTGTGGTAGAGTGACCCCGGGGATGCCGTAAGTATCCGGAGTCACCGTCAGTGGGAGGAGCTCTCTGAGGCGGTAAAGCTAGGAATTTGAGAAAAGTTCCAATAACACTACCCTCCCACCCCACCTGCCCTTATTTTTGTTGGTGGTGTTGGTCTGGGAGAAAAACCAAACACACCTGTAGACATGAAAGGGGAAAAGAGATTGTAAACAGCATCCCTGAGGGAAATGGATTGGGGGTGGGGGGCGGGAAGAGACAAAAACAATGCGGTTCTACCCTCTTAGATATGCTACTTACCAGACTTGACACAGACTGATTGTAGCATGCTATGTCGAAATGTCCCCTCCTCCCTCCACCCATCCTGGCTAATCCGGCTGTGTTCTTGGGTTTCGCTTTGGTTGCCCTGTGTGTGCCTATAAAGGTGGCTGACCAAGCCCTTCTCTGCTTTCCATAACCGCAGCGCGGACCGATATGAGCAAGACGTTGAACATGGCAACACGACTCACCTGGGGGACTGCCATGGTAAGATGGGGTCTTTCATTCCGGCCTGGTACTTCTTTTTGACCACATTTGCACGTAAACATTTTATTTTTTTTAATTTACAATCAGCCTTTTTAATGACTCGGGGCACATACCACCCTAGCATTTTAACTTAAACTTCGCAAAAGCTGAGCCGTTTGGGCATGGGGGTGCGCTAAAGAAATTTCTTTGATTTTCTTCACCATTTTCAATTTTGTAGGAAGTACCAGGGAATGGTAGTCTTCACCAGTTGGTGAATCTCTTGTGTTTATAGTCCTTCCTTTTCTTTTGCTCTGTTTCTTTTTCGAACTATTTGGAGCTCATACATCTGCTTTCTTTTGTTTACTTTTTACTGATTCCTTGTTCCTTTAATTCTTGTAGAAATTTTGCCTACTTCAACTACACCAGATTACAAAATATTTGGAGGTCCAACATCTGGTTAGTTTTGTTTAAGCTTTTTGAATTAACAACCTTTTCTTTCCTTCAGTTTGGCATATTCAGCCCCTCCCTCCCTCCTTTTGCGCAGTTTGGCAGCCCTCCATTCTTCTGCTTGGACTCATCATCCCACCGATGGCACCCACAGACGTTTACTTCCTTAGCACCTCACCCTCCTGTAGCATGTTAACATCATCGACCAAGACACCTTCTTTAAGGGGGCTAAAAAAAAAAAAAAGTCAAACGACTTCACATATACTGCATTCCAGCTGCACGCACGTCCACCCACGCTTTCTTCTCTCTCACCTCCTGCCTCGTGTCTGTTCCGTGCTCATCTGTATCGAACGGATGGCGGGCCCTCGTGATAGCCCCTCTTCTCTCCTCACCTGCCTTACGACCCTGTGAACAAATACACATTCCTGGGGAATGTGTATTTATATGTCTTAGCACTTTTTATTTTTGAATGGTTTGTGGTGATCGTGGGGGAATCTCTGTATGCCGTGTGGTGATATCGGTGGCGTGGGCGGGGGAAAAAAAAAACAAGAAAAGAAAGGAAAGGTGTTCCATGGAAATGAAGTGGGTCTCTGATGATTGACGCGGCTCAGTGAGCGCTCCATGCCTCCTCCTGTACCTGTCGTGCAGCTGTCACCTCTGACCATTGCGCCAGTCTGATCGGAAAGCATAGGGTTGTAGCTGGAAAGTACATGGTTACATTTTGAGGGGTACGCTACTGCATTGAAATGTGTGATAAAGATGTTAAAAATTAAACCACTCTGCTCCTATTGCCACTTCCAAACTTCTAAAACTCACCATTAGTTTTATTTCTGGGGTGTTGGGTGAGGGGAGGACGGTGCGGAGGAAACAGCCTATTTCGCTTACAAATGCCATGTAATTTTTATCATTTGCTGCTACCCCTTTGAAAGAAAGTGCCCAGGCGTTGTAGACGGCCCCCAAAAAGTTTGTCCTTGCTTCAGTGCCTCTTTAGATATGGTAGCCCTTCAGGGGAGAGGGTAATGCAGCAATGAGTGAGAAGTGAATGGTAAATGAAGCAGGGCAGGGTTTGGGGCTATCAGGTCCAAATTCAAGTTCTTACAGGCATGAAATCAGGTATTTTCTGAGGATGTTACAACACCTCTCCTCCAGTGACAGATGTACGTTCTAATTACCTATGAAAACAGCACCTCCAAAAATATACCCCAAAAGAAACAAATGATGTCTCAGAGACGGAAGAGAAAACCGCCACTCTTATGGGCTGGGACCGTTATTTGCTTTAGCCATAGGAGATCCAGTAGGAATCTACTAAGTCTGTTTGTTTTCTTGATCTTCAAATCGACTTAATCTGTTTTTCTTCTTGATTTTTGTTCTTCCTTTGAAAGAAAGGGATTCGGTGTAGTCTGAACTCAGGTGTGTTTTTGTAAAACCCTAGATTTGTTTTAAACGTTACTTGAAAAAAAACATGCCACAGACCACTCAGAAAACTCTGCCGGCACTATTCGTGTTAATAAAAATCTGTTTGCCACCACAGACATGGAGGTATCTTCGTCTACTCTTACTACAATGGCAAGTATCTCAGAAATCACACCTAAAGTGATTGATTCCTGGAATCCTAAACTGACGAGCTCCCGGAAATTTGTAGTTCAAGATGACCCCAATACTTCTGATTTTACTGATCCTTTATCAGGTATCCCAAAGGGTAAGGCTTCACCAGGGATCTCATCGCCAACTGAGTGGAAACCTGATTCGAAATTTCTCTGAGAACTCTTTGGACTTAAGGGTCCCTAGACGTCAATCTCAATGGAGGTGCTGGTGGTGGGCCCTCCGCTTCTACTGGCCATGCTGAAGAGGTGGCGAGGCCACTAAACACCAGAAGGCCCCTCACCCCCACCCCTTTCAGCAGCATCCCAAACCAAAAGCCAGCCCTTGTTGGTACTCCCAGATGAGGGCTTGACATCAGGTGGCCTGCCCGGGAGTCGATCCTGTTTTGCTTCAGTTCGAAGTGAAAGATGAAAAGCGATGTGAGGTGGCCAGTCACTTGGATGCCACAGCAATAAATCACAGCGGAGTGTGTTATGTGCTCAGAACTCTTCTTTCCACCAGGAAAACAGCTGCCTGTGGGGTTAACTTCTTAGAGATGTTACTCCAGAGGGGGGGTAACCAAAAACACAAGAAAAAAAAATCAAATCCTCTATTTTCTATTGCTTATTTAATGTGCTATCAGGTTTCCAATCAGTTTTTATGGAGTACATTGTCATTTCTGATTTACCTTTGTTGATTTTGATTTTATATGATTTTGTTGTAAATCATTTTATAATCCTTCTCCTTTCTGCTTTGATTTCTGTCGTAACCGTTTATGTCTACGCAATGCTGTCTTCTCACAATGCCACTGAAACCCATAACCCCAGACATGGATACAAACTGCTCATATTTAAAGGTCTTAGTACTAACCTAAAGCCAACAGGCTCTTCAAAGTCCTCTGACTCCCCTTGCTCTGGGATAGCTGTATAGACTGCATGTACCAGACTTGGATACCTCTTAAACTAACATTTCTTTGATACATTGTTAGATGTCTGTGGTTGCATTAAAAGCTCCAATAATTTCAAACTAATTCACTATTCTTTTTCTAGTTCTAGGTTAAATTCCTCTCAAATATCTCAAAATACTTGAATGGTATTTCTTAACTAACACAGAGTGTTTCCTCAGACTGCCTAGATTTCTAACATAGCTGGCGATTCAAGGGTGCTCTCTCTCTCTCTCAAGAAGGATTTTTTTAAAAGCAAATATGAGTCTATATTGGTAGCTCGCATCAAGCAAGCTAATGCTTTTAGTATGTGAACAAATTATACACTGTGTGTGTGTTGTTTTAATTCAAGTGACATGGCATGACTGTGTTAGCATAATGATCTCAGCATCATATATATTGATGCCAGTTCAGACATTCCCACAGCCCTATTTGCCCTTTCACTGACTGTTGAATTTGGAGACAATCAGGAGACAGGGCTTTTTGTGAGTTTAAACTTGACTGTTTTGAGAATAGCTTACTTCCTAACTTTAATTTTTAGGAGGAATCAAAATTTCTAGCATTAAGTAAAAACTAGTTAAGAGGCACTGGGAATAAAAGAGGAAGGTCAGCAGAGACCTACGGGAGATGAGTGTTGCCCTGGCTTTTGCAGCAAATATCTATCTTTCTGGGGGCCCATGTCCAATGAAAGAGAAAATGTGGAATATGGGAACCTCCTGGACCCTCCAAGCACATACCCCGCTGAATGGAAGCCATGATGGTTCCTATTGTTTTGAGAAACCACTTCCCTCACACATCCTTCCTGTGTGTCTGTTGCAGGTGTCCAATGGGAAGTGCAGTCGGGGGACTCCAGCAAGACGGTCCACATGAATGTGCTCATCACCTGCGTCTTTGCCGCATTTGCCTTGGGTGCGATCATTGCGGGCGTGGCAGTCTATTGCTACCGCGGCATGCATGTCCGGAAATCCAGAAAGATCCATAAAGATGCCGAATCTGCCCAGTCATGCACAGACTCCAATGGAAGTTTTGCCAAACTAAATGGTCTCTTCGACAGCCCCGTTAAAGAATACCAACAGAACATCGATTCGCCCAAACTGTATACTAACCTGCTGACCAGTCGGAAAGAGCTGCCTCCCAGTGGAGACACGAAATCCATGGTAGTGGATCTTCGAGGTCAACCACCCGAGCTGGCTGCCCTCCCCACACCCGAGTCTACACCGGTGCTGCACCAGAAGACCGTGCAGCCCGTGAAGAGCCAGTCCGACAAGGTCCATGGCCACAGGGCATCCAGGAAAGAAACCTCCCAGTTCTTCCCTTCCAGCCCTCCATCCCACTCCTCACTCGGTCACGGCCATATCCCTAGTGCTATCGTGCTGCCGAATGCCACTCACGATTACAACACATCCTTCTCAAACTCCAACGCTCACAAAGCGGAAAAGAAACTCCCACACACTGACCATCCTGTGCCAAACGCATCCAGCAAACGGGATCACCGGCGCTCTGTGGATTCCAGGAACACCCTCAACGATCTCCTGAAACATCTAAGCGACCCGAACAGTAACCCCAAAGCCATCATGGGAGATATCCAAAGGGCGCACCAGACCCTCATGCTGGATCCTGTGGGAACGATGTCTGAGGTTCCGCCCAAGGTCCCCAACCGGGAGGCCTCGCTCTACTCTCCCCCTTCCACTCTCCCCAGAAATAGCCCCACCAAGCGAGTGGACGTCCCCACCACTCCCGGGGTCCCAATGACTTCTCTGGAAAGACAGAGGGGTTATCACAAAAATTCCTCCCAAAGGCACTCCATATCTGCTATGCCTAAAAACGTGAACTCACCGAATGGTGTTTTGCTATCCAGACAGCCTAGTATTAACCGTGGAGGATACATGGCCACCCCGACGGGGGCAAAGGTGGATTTTATTCAGGGGACACCTGTGAGTGTCCACCTGCAGCCTTCTCTCTCCAGACAGAGCAGCTATACCAGTAATGGCACCCTCCCGAGGACGGGACTAAAGAGGACACTGTCCTTAAAACCTGATGTGCCACCAAAGCCTTCATTTGTTCCTCAAGCCACATCAGTCAGGCCACTGAACAAATACACTTACTAGACCTCACCTGTGCTCTTCCCCGCGTGGCTTTATCCTGTACGTGTTGTTGAGAGGACGGTGTGGGGAGGGGACCTTCACGCAAGAGACTCCCTTATATTTTAAAAGAGAACCAAGTGGCCAAAGAAACTCTTAACTTTGGCAACATCAGAACTTGCCACATGTAGCTACCACAGCAAGGCTTCTGAGTACTTGCCTGTAAACAGAGGAAGGTGCTGGTCATTCCATTTCTTTTGTTTGAAGCTAAAGAGATGGGGAGCTGGGGGGTAAGGGGGGAACCTTACCAAAGTAAAGAGCCGATGCAGTACTCAGAAGAATCTGTAAGCAAATACTTGAAAATGGGTTCAATTTAGACTGCCATTCTGTGTGGTCTTCCCATTAAATGTGAACATTTTAATATGTATGCATTCACCTTGCCTCTTGCACAAATGTAAAAAAAAAAAAAAAAGATGGTTATGTCTCAAAGAAATACGAACTTGTAGATTACCAAGCAATTTGCTAAAACTGTCATTGATCCAAACTGTAGCATTTTTTTTTCATGTGTGGCATTTTTTTTAACTTCATGCCACCAAGAAGCTGTGGTGTATGTGTGTGTGTGTGTGTGTGTGTGTGTGTGTGTGTGTAAA